CCTATATTTTTTGAGGCTTTGCGAGCTGGACAGTGCCGGGCAAGAGACCAACGACGCTCGCCTCAGATCAGCGGGTTTCGAGATCGGGCAGGACGTTGTGAGGAGGAGTGACTCATCCACGGGCCAGATCAAGGCCATGAATGCCACGGACGTGACTCTCCTGGTGGGGACGAATTTTGTCAAGGTGCCTGCGAAGCAGTTTCTGGCAGGTGACTGGAAGGAGTACACTGCGAAGCCGGTGCCCGAGGCGGTGCCCTTCCTCGACAGCCTCCCCGTGAACTGTTTAGAGTTCCAGATGGGCATGTGGAAGGCGAGAGTCCTGAACCAAATGATTCTGGACAAAACAATGGGTGCAAGCCACTACGAGGGTCTCGAGGTGTTCCTCAAACCGTCCAGGGATGTCAGGGCCACAATTCGGTTCGAGAAGGGCGCCTTGCAGATTGTTGCAAGCACACATCGCGTGGATGTGAAGCCGACCGGCAGCACTATGAACTCGAGCATTTGCTGTGGCACGGCAGAGATGCAGAGCCAGATCTTCGACATATGGCTGAGCTCACCTGTGCAGCAAAGCCCTACACAGGTGCTGCACCCATTCTGGGTGTTGAGGACCTCCGCAAACGTTGCGGAGTGCAACCTCGAGCTGACTCCGAAGAATCATGGAGGCAGGAGATTGAAAATGGAGGGAGATTCGTGGCACATCCCCATTGCCAAAAACTCGAAGGTGATCAACCCAGGCGACTCTTTGATCCTTTACAAGCCGGTGACAGCTGCAAAGCCCGAGCCCTTGGTCCCTGAGAAGAAGAGAATGACAACAAAACAGCCCGAACCCTCGGTCCCTGAGCCGAAGAGAGCCCGAAAGGCGTAGAAACCGCACGTATACATGGGCTCCGGATTCTGATGAGATATATATATATATATACATGCATACATATATGTCTGCTTTAGATGTTGAGTGCGATGAAATATGTACGTATGTACATATTTATATATACATATACACACAGTACGAAGGCCGCCGAGTCAGAATCCCGAAGCATGCAGGATTTTTCAAGTCAGGCCTGCAGATGAGGAAAACTATGTATATATGATGCAGCAGCGGAGTCGGAGTTTCAAGTCGGGCAGAGCACGTGGGCTCGCCTGACTGCGGGCAGGGATGTATTCTCGCCCAGGACGTTTGAAGAGAGCTTGCAGTTCTCGTGCGTGATCCGTTTGGCAAAAGCCGCGTGAGTGTGCGCATGCGTGGGATCAGAAGGAAGTGCATGTCTCCAGATATCACGTGCTTCAGCATTGCATGCGGGCAAGGCATCAGGCTCGCGGGTTTAGGCCTTTGTATATCTAGGACAACTTCTTTTGGAGGAGCTTGCAATGGCACGGCCTGTGGAAGTTCAGCAGGTTTGGTCGATCATGGGCGGCCACCTCGGCAAGAATGCTAAGTGGATAGCGAAAACAAAAGATGTGGAAGGCAAGACTTTTGTTCAAATCGACAAATGGGATAAGTACCTCACTCCCTTCGTCACTGGACAGCACATCCAGCTGAAGAAAGAGAAGGACTCTGCCCGAACTATATACGTTTATACATTTATACACACACATATCTATATGTGTGTGTGTATAAATGTATAGACTATAGCCAGACATGGAGACAGAGAGAGACATATACACATAGACATGTGCAGAATTATAGCCCCACGTATGGCATATATTTTTCATGCATACATGTAAACACACAAATATACATATGTATGTATGTGTATATATATCTCTATATAGAGCAGAAGATACATCCCATGCGTTTCGTTCCCAACTCGTGCCTGCAGGATCCGCAGCATTTGAGCATCCTGGCCTTTGGAGCCTTGCTCGCCCTTCGGAAAGCCGCTTGCGACCATTTGTACAACAAACGCATCCGAGATGCAGCGGCAGTCGCAGGTGACGTGGCGCCCCGCCATCGCAGCGCACGGGAAGAAGACATGTACGTTGCCGGTCGCGTCGTGCAGATGCGTTGTCCGGAGGTCACGCTCGGGGAAGAGACCATGGAAGCAAGAACTATGAACAGTCTCTGGTCGGTCCGTGACCCCATGTTGTGGGTCGAGCTGACATCAGAGAATCTGCAGTACATCTCCCTC